GATATCATTGTGGTCCGGACTATTGAGGGGATGTGTATTGGGACATCATAGATTGCTTACTTCTCAACTTGTCCTCTTAAAAATAACGTCGCTTTTGGCCGTTTGCTCGTATGGCCGAATTTGGACGTAATTTGAAAATGAAAAAAAAAATAAAAAAAAATTTGGGATTTTTTTTCAACAACAGTAAGTTAAGGGTCCTATGATAGGTTAGGTGGGCAGGAAATTCTCATAAAGTTTTAAAACGGTATGAAAAACGTTAATTTAAAGTGTCCTCTTCTAACCTGTCCGAGTGGGCCGGACGACTCAAACAGAAAACGGAACAGAACGTCACTTTTGTGAGTATTTCATTTCAAATTACGTCCAAATTTGGCCATAGCGCCCATACGAGCCTTAAGAGGACGGGTATTATGGCTTCTGAGTAGCCATAATATTCGTTCTTGAGATAAAGTGTCAATGCCCATTGAGATTAGAAATCAGTATCTGAATTGTAGACTTAATAGCAAGACTGTTATAAGTATTTAAAAGCGTTCTCTATTTAACATTCAAGTTTTACCCAATCACTCTATCAATCAAGGAGAAAATCATGATTAATAATAATAAATCGTGGGATCCCGGGTTAGATTCCCAGGCGGGACAGAAAAGGTTTGGCACGTTTTACTCCACGTAATGCATCTGTTCACCTAGTAGTTAAAAGTTAGTCAACTGTTGCGGGGTTGCAACATGGGGTCAGTAGGTCCACCTTGGGGGAACCTCGAAACAAGCCGAAAGTATATATGTACACAGGCATCCTGTCCCCGACAAAACGAACTATTAGATTATCATTCATTGATATTTGTTTACCAAAAGCGTCTTAGCTACAAGGATCTGATGTAACAATTTGCCTTAACTACAGGGAAGTATGCAATTCTTCTTAGGCATACCTTTGGATTCTCTACGAATCCATCTTACTTGCATAAGAACAGCTAATTTCTTTCGTCGTATGTTGAATCCGTCTTACCTGCACAAGAACGCCGAATTCCGTGGTGATATCCTGAATGTTGTAAACAATAGAGCATGACTGTCGGTCGAACGGGTACAGCTGGAGATCAAAGTAGCACTTGAAGGTCAGAGTGTCCTCTTTCTGGAGTGTCATAGTGTTCTCCCCGCCGCTGTATACCGTATCTGGGGAAGAAGGAGGAGGTGGATGTAGAGCCAATTGTATCTGAGGAACTACTTCGAAATATGAAGGCTGACTGAGCGTTTTCGGTCATATTACATGACCACTGTCAAAGTCAAAATGCAGGAATGAACTGCAGGAGAGCAAGATATATAGGGAAGAAGAGCGTGGGAGCAGAGGCTAGAGGGAATAAAGAGGTGATATGATTACCACTTACACTTACTAACAGGAATCGACCAAATTGACAAAGAAGAATTCCTGTAACCAGCAACTACGCGAACAAGAGGACACAGATTCAAGCTAAGGAAACAAAGGTGTCGAACAAATATTAAAAAGTTTTATTTTGCAAACAGTGAGAGAGGGATGGAACAAGCTAAATGAGAAGGCGGTGGAGGCCAAAACCGTCAGTAGTTTCAAAGCGTTATATGACAAAGAGTATTGGGAAGACGGGACACCACGAACGCAGCTCTCGTCCTGTAACAACACTCAGGTAAGTACACTTAGGTAATTACCAACCTTCTCGAATGGTTGCGTCATCATCGGGCAGCGGACCGGCAGTCTTTTCCACAAACACCGCCCCTGACCGGTCGTGTACCTGCACGATGCTCAGAGTGGCGTCTCTGATGGCCATGACGGGGGTCCACACCTGAGACTGGTCCTTGATCTTGTTGGCCACAGAGTTCGTCTGGAGGTTGGTAAACTTGAGCCGAGGATCCCGCCACTTGAGTTCGAGGGAGGCGTCTATGCTGATGGTGAAGGAGACGAGGTTGAAGTCCTTGATCGAGGTCACGTTGAGGAAGAAGCCTATTGGGACTGGCTGGGACGCCAGTTTCGGGGGAGGGAGGCTTGCGGAGTACCAGGAAGGGATCTGGGCGATGCTGCAATTCATCTCGTCGCTCTGGTCGGTGCAGTCGACGCTGAGGTCACAGCGACGGGTCTTCTGAATGCAGGTGCCGTCGTCGCACGTGTACTCGTCGCCCCGGCAGGAGGTCAGCAGCAACTGCACCTGTTCAAGTACACAAGGATAAGGGAAGTAAGTAAGTAATTATCAAAAGAAGGCACCAAACCGGGAAGGCTATGTAGCACCACCAAATGTGCGGAGTAATCAGAGGGCGCTAAACATCACCATGGGTGCCAATACGAGAACAGAAACGCATAAGGCGAACGATATCAAAAGTATCCGATTCACCCAGAATTCTATCGAGGGACAATTGACCGCGAGGGATCTTTCCACGGTCGAAAAGAAAGATACACTCTCTTCCGGTCAGTAAGCAATTTCTTATCTTAATAACCTTCCGTAGGTTGATAGGCTTTAAGCCCAACACCACACCAGTGGAAACTGCAGGAGCTCATATGCGAGACATCTCCTTGTTTGTACCCATCTCAATATCACTAACCTTAGCCCCACTGTCCCATCTATTATGTTACTTGGTTATGTCTTCCATTAATTCACAACCCTATTTCCAGACATTATGTACTCAGATCTTTTCTCAATCTAAACATATCCAATTTTTCTAAAAATCATTTTGTGTTCCAATTTGTGTTTATTTATTTAACAATATTAATATTCTCTTGTTTTAGGTGAGAATATTGATAGTTAAGGTTTAATTAAGGTAAGCTTGCCTAGGCTAGATTTAGTTAGGTTAGACGAGATTTAGGTTAAGGTTTTACTAAGATTAAGTTTAGTTAAATTAGGTTTTATAACTTTTAGCTAGGTTAGGTTTACTTATGTTAGTATTATTTTAGTTGGGAATGATTAGTATAAATAGGTAAACATTTGGAAATAGCTCTTACTGGCATATGTATTTTGGTAAAAATAATTATTATTTTTACTACAAAAATAGATCAAATTTCGCACTAACATTAATACAATTTTGTAATTACTAAGAGGAGAACTGTTTGAAATGGAATAAGTCCTACAACAAGACGTTACCAGGATGTCTTCCTCCAACACTTCAACTTAATGTTGACTATTCCATCTCTCATCGCAATAGCAGCTCCGTGGTAGCACTTATCGTTTATGATATCAGTACTTCTTACTGTCATCATGGCGGCGTAATCAGTATTTACTAAACAGGGGGCCAGATTCACGAAGCAGTTACACAAGTACTAACGAACGTGTACATCTTTCCTCAATCTTTGACGGCTTTGGTTATATTCATTAAACAGTTTACAAGCATGAAAACTTGCCAATCAACTGTTGTTATTGTTATAAACAGCCTCCTGGTGCTTCGGAGCTCATTAACTGTTCAATAATTGTAAACAAAGCCACTAAAGATTGAGAAAAGATGTATAGGTTCGTAAGTGCTTGAGTAACTGCTTCGTGAATCTGGCCACAGTTTACGAGCACCGAAGGGTTGCTAGGCCGTCCTCAGTCCAACGATATTAAGGACGACTTCTTAGCGTCCGGGTTTACTGTTTAGTGAATACGGTCTAAGAGCCCATGATCGAGGTCAAGAGTAGAAATCAGTTAAGACGTAAGCAGTGTATGAGTGCTGGCCCCAGTGTGGTCTGGAGTATGGAATCAAGTCAGACTTACCTCCTTCTGCCGACACTTGTCGCCATAGATGCTCCAGGTGTGTACGCCCACAGGATACTCTTGTCTCCACTGGGAGACCATGACAGCCGTCATCTCCTTGTAGAGTCGGCTCCTCATCACCCAAGTGTTGTTCTCCTGCCTCATCACAATATGGCCAACGCCGTCAAAAACTAATTTAAAGTTCTTGTTGTCGCGAAAGGAAAATTGCCGATCAAAAGCAGAGTTGGTGCATAGTCCACGCAGCCGCATTTGAGGGAATGTGGTAAAGTTACAAAGAATACAGGCTTCTATGTCACACGAGGTGGCAGCCCACTTATAGTGTTCGTGTGTCACTGACGCTATGCACTGGTACTCGGTCGTGACCGCTTCGTATAGGCTGAGGAAGGGATGGAAGGTTAGGGGCGTTTGGTCCGCCAACTTCAGCCACCGGCTAGTCTTCAAGTCCCCATCTGCGCCGATCCAGTACAGATGTGTCCAGATATCACTGCATTGGTCCTTGTAGCTCAGGAACCTGTCGAAGAGATAAGCATTCACCTCGTCGTCCTCTGGAAGAATCAGCTCCCCTTTGAGCTTCTTGCACCAGGAGTTCGCGTCCTTGAAGAACATCTTCCCAGAGAAGAAAAGATAAAACCCGGAGATGTAGTTCCCACACAGCTCCTTCGTGGAGATGTTCCGGGTCTCGGTGGGTCCCTTCACCTTCAGTACACCATTCTCCAGATCAATCAGCGGTGGCTTCAGCCCAGGTAGGTCACTGCAGCTCAGCAACTTCTTCATCTGTTCTTGCCCCAGAGCCACGTCGTAGATCCTGTAGTCAGCTACTTCCCCATCAAGGTTTTCTTTGAGGATAAAGTCACCCTGCATGGAATACAACCTCTGGCCAACCACCAGACGGCCTCCACCCCGCACCTCAAGGCGGGGGTCCGGCCCCAGGAGCGAGGTGGGAAGCTCCAGGTGTAATTCGTAGTCCTGCAGATAGCAACAATAGCACTGATTATAAACATAATAATTTAATTGATTCATTTTGTTGGGGACAGTCAGCCAGGTTATATATACAAATCATATTAGGCTTATATCGAGCCTCCCTCCTAACCTCAGGGTCGAATTACTGACCCTCCCCAGAATGCAATCCCACAATAACCTGACTAACTCCTGGGTACCAATTTACTGCTAGGTTGACAGGTGCATTAGGTGATAGGAAACACGCCCAACCATTTCAGTCCCGCCCGGGATTCGAACCCGGAATGATCAATTGTGAGTCAAGAGCGAACCCGACTGTTCTGCCGGGACCTAAATCCCCATTGTCGAAGGTCCTCGATCCTAAGTTCTCCGAGGTGGAACTACTGACCATGCCCCCAGGATGCAACCCACAACAGTTGCATAACTCCCAGGTCAAGGTTGACGATGCATAGGCCTACAGTACATGACATTTTATCTAACAATATAAATACCAATTTTCGACCAGATGTGGAGGACATTTTTAGATGTGTTTCTAAAAACAAACAATTATGGATTAACATATATATATATGACTATTTTTTAAAATTGCACATACAGAACTTCTGTATTGAAATCCAGCACAGCATTTAATGTTACTTATGGACACACATCGTATACATCAATTTTGAAGGGATTTCTATAAAATAATTTGATTCATTGACTTATTGGTCATTTCTTTCGCTTTACAACAACACGATCATTGATGTCCTGTAAATGTAACATTCATCTAACCGTCGAGATAGGCTCAAAACCCTCAGCTCGACTTTACAACACCGTTAGACCAGAGGGGATAAGGCTCTATAGCTCAGTTGGACAATTGTCATAACGAGAAGATGGCTACCCAGAACGGTCACCCTCAAAATTCCCCACCAACCACAGGCCATTCCCCTTACTTCATCCACCGGTGGTGTCGACCCCTGAGGTAGATACTGATGATACTTGGGTCCGCAATCTGCTCCTAGGTCAAAGTCTACACTTTGCAGACTAGCAAAGTGTAAATGTTTGCAGTAGAAACCCAACTACTTAAGAAGCAGCAGTGGATACTGCTGCTCCTCCGCTATACACTTCCCTATACTAGACAGTATAGGGAAGTGTATAATAATAGGCGTTGATGGTACCAGGGAAAAGGGCACTTTAATGGCCAGTGTCCCTACGATCGAAACATCAAAGCGCAATGTAATAAGGCCTCCAGAGATAAAGGGGCAGCGCCATCTTTGAGGTGACAGTGACTGGAGGGAGGTTGATCGCATTGCGTGGATACCTTGTCAGGTGACCTTAATTAAGAGGGACATATTTAGTACCATCAGGCAGGAATGCATCAAGCAAATGACAAAAACAGCTGATTGCACTCACTGGCCTATGTATTGACATCGTAGGGCAATGTATTCTAAACCTTTCACAGAGGCCGACAGATAACATCCGCATGGATGTACTGTGTTGGAGAATTTATCATTCCCTGTGAATGTATTATTTGAGATGGTCTTTTTTTTTTAGGAGATTCAAGTATTGTTCGTCTTCATAAATGGGAATCAGACAATGTAGGTTCCAATTAGGAACTGTGTCTTTCCCGGTAATATTCAGAAGTCAAGCACGTGCAGCAGTAACAATTAAAAGAAAGCCTAAGTACCATGCTAATTACCCTAAATAACTAATGGAGGTCTCTTCAAGACCCGGACAAGAAAATCCCACCACGGTCAGTAAAATTAATTAAATTGACAAAACGAAGAACAGGTCAACCAGGACGTACCCTTCAGGTAGTGGGCAGATTGGATAAATGATTAATACCACACCACCTTGCTATATATCTTTGACAAACGTGCTCTAATCCCAGTGATCAATTTCTCTCACACATTTCATCTCTTCACAGTGGGGGAAATAGCCTCTTAGGGGATGCCCAAAGTCTGTCCCCGTGTTAACTTTGAGATAGCAACTTTATCAGCTCTATGTTGCATACTTAACCCCAAACACATGCAGACCCTCGAGAAATAAAGCGTATCTAATATCTCAAGATAACGGACCTTAGATAAATTTATAATACATAGTAATTTAAACCATATCACCTACTGTGTGTAGCACAATTACATACAATTACAGCTCCGAAAGTGCCCGCAATTGTTTGCAACCGAGGATGGTGAAATAGGGCGTCTACCTCAAACTGAACACACCATTCCAACTGGTGAACCTTCTCCAGGTTATTCACAGCCAGAAACGTACTTCAACAGAAAGATGGAAATGACTGGGAGTACGAGGGGGGCCTGACGGCTGAGTGGACAGCGCTCGGGAATTCGTAGTCCTAAGGTTCCGGGTTCGATCCCCGGTGGAGGCGGAAACAAATTGGAAGTTTCTTTCACCTCGATGCCCTGTTCACCTAGCAATAAATAGGTACCTGGGAGTTAGACAGCTGCTACGGGCTGCTTTCTGGGAGTGTGTAACAAAAAGGAGGCCTGGTCGAGGACCGGGCCGCGGGGACGCTAAGCCCCGAAATCATCTCAAGATAACGATATTCAGCTACTGACAAGGATGCATTTCCTGTAGCGCAGAGCGTGAGGTTATCTTCAGATGATTTCGGGGCTTAGCGTCCCCGCAACCCGGTCCTCGACCAGGCGTCCTTTTAGTTACAACCCCCCAGGAAGCAGCCCGTAGCAGCTGTCTAACTCCCAGGTACCTATTTACTGCTAGGTAACAGGGGCATATCAAGGTGAAAGAAACTCTGCTCATTTGTTTTCGCCTCCACCGGGGATCGAACCTAACACTCAGGACTACGAATCCGTAACGTTACTTGTTCCAACGTCATTTTGTAATTTGCACCGATCACAGAACATTGACCCATAGTTTCCAAGAGAGAACTCGCAGCCACACAATGACTCGGTGGAACCACGAGCTGTCAGCGCATTAATTTCAGATCTTGTATGAACCCGGGCAGTTGTCCTTAATTAATGCTTTAAGAGGGAATAGTCCTAGTAATAGCAACCAGCTAAGCAACTAGCAAGTTAAGTAACCAGCATACCAAGCAGCCATGCAGTTAGCCAACCAACTAGACAGCCATCCAGCAAACCATGTAGCAAACAGCCAGCCAACCAATCAACTAGATAAACAGCCAACCACCTAGTCAGGATCTCCTTGTAAATTCTAAATAATTTTGAAATGAATCACTGGCAGGTTAGCAGTATATTATATTATATTAGCAGTATATTAATATGTTAACATTTATTTTCCTGTCCTATACCCACTACCTCGTAAGTCATGTCTGTGTCTTGTTTCCAGACAGCCTAATATATTACACATGTATGTATGTATGTATGTGTGTGTGTGTGTGTGTGTGTGTGTGTGTGTGTGTGTGTGTAACACATACACACACACACTCACTAGCTGTGTGCGTGTATGTACTAGGGTTAACCCTAGCAATACCCAGTAGTGCTAGGGTCGTCAGACCTCTCATCTCTCTGTGAGCCAAAAAAAAAATAATAATCTAAGATGTATTTTTTATAAATCTTCTGATAATATAATTTTTTATCTAAACAAAATCATTAATATGTTCCACTATCTATCTGTTTTTGACTAGGGAGATAAGGAAGGCAACAACATGCAAGCAGTACTTAGGGGGTAATCACCCACCCTGGTAATCACCATACCCAGTATGACCCTCTGTCCTGCGTGACAGTGAATACTAGCATTATCCTCAATTTAATAAGACTATCAAAATCCTCAGATTAGGCAAAATTGTAATTAATTTTGTCAATAAAGATGTTAATAATAATAATAATAACCCAGTATATATTCTTCCATAACATGAGTAATACCAAAGTGCATTACGCAATCAGTCCTTTAATGAACTTTCTCTCTTTGGTTAGGTTAAGTTAAATTTTGTATTCGTGAGACGAATACTCTGTGACTTGTTCTCAAAGCCCTGTTCTGGGAAAGGGGGGAGAGGGGGTGCTCAAGGTCGTATATTTGGGGGGTGGGTGTGCTTATGGTCCTGTACTCGAGGGTGGGGGGGGGGAGTGAGATAGACAGAGACAGAGGCAGTGTGAAAGCGACAGTGAGAGAGTATGAAAGAGACAGATGAGAGACAAGCATAATAGAGAACAACAGAGAGATGAGAGTGAGCACCCACCATATCGTCACAGACTACCCTGAGGGTTCTGGTCTCCAGGTTGAGGGAGACAGCAAGCCGTTGCCAGGAGAACATCTTCTTCTGGTACTTGAGGGCCTGGGCCACCTGTCCTCCACAACACTGGACCCGGATCTCCTTCTTCCTGGCCGGCAGCAACTCTGGGGGAGACGGCGACTACGTCTCTTTCTATAATTCTTCTCCTTTCATTCGGTGGTGCCGTGTTTTCATACAGTGGTGCCGTGTTTTCATACAATGGTGCCGTGTTTTCATACAGAGGTGCCGTGTTTTTAAACGGTGGTGCCGTGTTTTCATACAGTGGTGCCGTACCTTTGTACTCACAGATGTGTTTCGAGGAAGGTAGGTTAGCTCTAAAGCCCCTCCCGAATATTAGCAGTATTTAGTGCCATGCTAATTCTCCACGGTTTTGTAAATGTTTACAATTCAAATTGTGTATTCCAGCTATCTTTGACTCTCCTGCTCACTGACTCTCCTACTCACTGACTCTCCTACTCACTAACTCTCCCGCTCACCGACGAAGAGTTCGTCGAGGGCGCCCGGGACGGCGTAGCTGAGAAGCGGGATGTGGGAAGAAGTCCGTCGAAGTCGCACATGGAGAGTTACCGTCACCTGTTGGAGGTCACACACACAATTACTCCTTCAGAAGGTCACAGTTACTCACCAGAAGATCACAATTACAGATACTCACCAGATCACAATTACAGATACTCACCAGAAGATCACAATTACACATACTCACCAGAAGGTCTAAATTACATATACTCATCAGAAAGTCACAACAGATGTCCCTAGGACTGTCTTCCTTCTCCGTTCCCTTATCTTTTCTTACAGATATCCATCACTAGCACCATCTTCCCTCTCCCTTTACTTTAATATTTTAATAATAATGCAAATAATAATAATAATAATATTATTATTATTATTTTCCTCTTTATCTTCTCTTTACAGAGATCAGCATGAATGTACTTCTGTATTAGTATATCAGAGCATCAGTATATCCCAGAGTATTAGCATAGCTCCTTCTTCAGTATTGCATATCCACGATAACCAGATATACCCACCTGTAACCATCTTACCTGCGTCATACTGGGTAGCCCTCCCAGCTCCGTCTCCAGGCGGCTATCACTGGTGACCTTATCTGCCATCTGGAACCTCACTACTCCAACGCTCCTCTCATCTGGGGGCACGGGGTCAGTCTATAGCAAGGGTGAGGTCACTGTCTATAGCAAGGGTGTGGGTATGTGAGGTCACTGATGTTATGACCCCCACATACATCAGTATGATCATACTGTGGCTGGTGTATGATGCGTTTAAACTGAACAGTGATATCTTGGCTGATTAGCCTATCACAAATATTATTATATTTACCTAATCTTCTTTCAACAATAAACTAGTGTAAATTGTATATTGCCAATGTATGTCTAATATAACTATGCATATTATATTTCAATACCAAAGTTATATGTCATGTATTTGTGGATATATTGAAAGTGTAGTGAATAGCAGAAGCCTAATGCCATGATGCTTGAAAAACACTATTATGTGCTTATTTTTTTTTTTTTTGAGATATATACAAGAGTTCTTACATTCTTATACAGCCACTAGTACGCGTAGCGTTTCGGGCAGGTCCCTGGAATACGATCCCCTGCCGCGAAGAATCGTTTTTTCATCCAAGTACACATTTTACTTTTGCGTTAAACAGAGGCTACAGTTAAGGAATTGTGCCCAGTAAATCCTCCCCGGCCAGGATACGAACCCATGACATAGCGCTCGCGGAACACCAGGCGAGTGTCTTACCACTACACCACGGAGACTTGTGTTAATATTAAGGAATTGCTGAATATTAAGCATTATATTAAGGAATGCTACGTATTACTGTATAGGACATGCTATGTGTATTATGATGTAGAATGTATACATTTACCTATCTGATGTATTACTAGCATGTATACAGTGAAATATCCATTTCATTATTGTTCATTGCATTATCCTCTTGTCATATTAGTAATTTATATTCTGGTACTGTGAGATGTATGCCACAGAGGCAAGGTTTTGATACTTACATTGTATATGAGACTACACTGTATACATGTATACTTAGTCTCCGTGGTGTAGTGGTAAGACACTCGCCTGGCGTTCCGCGAGCGCTATGTCATGGGTTCGTATCCTGGCCGGGGAGGATTTACTGGGCGCAATTCCTTAACTGTAGCCTCTGTTTAACGCAACAGTAAAATGTGTACTTGGATGAAAAAACGATTCTTCGCGGCAGGGGATCGTATTCCAGGGACCTGCCCGAAACGCTACTCGTACTAGTGGCTGTACAAGAATGTAACAACTCCTGTATATATCTCAAAATAACGGCTGACTAGTAACGTCTTGAAATCCTCCCTTAACCCCCACCCCCTTGCGTACCGACTCCAGCCAGTGTACACTTCCACAAACATAACATCATTTTTATTTGACAACATTCAGGGTATAAAAAACACGCAAATCTAACAAAGTGCACTTCATAGATAGCCTCTTGCACGAGGCAAATGCAGTGTTTGCAGCCCTAACGGAAACTCACACCAAGGACTAGCATGATGGTGAAATATGGATTTCAGAGTACAATATTTTCAGATATGACAGGAAACACAGGCTGCAGGTGCCTGTACATCAAAGCACACTCATCTGTACTGAGCTGCTAAACACCACAAATGATATGGTGGAAGTGCTAATAATCAAAATAGAGAGCTTAAATATAGTTTTTGTCCTTGTATACAAGTCACCGGAGACAAATCATCAACAGTTTAAAGACCAACTGATGAAAATAGAACACTGCTTGGAAAAACTCACAAATCCAGCCCCGAACATCATCCTGGTTGGGGACTTCAACCTACGGCACCTGAAATGGAAGAACCTAGCTAATATAGTTATATCAGAAAGAATACCAGGAAGTAGCCTACATGAACAGGCACATGCAAATGACCTGTTTCGGATGTGCGACAGGTTTGCTTTAAACCAGCAAATAGTAGAACCAACTAGGAAGGAGAACACGCTGAACCTCATTTTCACCAATAATTATGAATTGATCAGGAACATAATGATTACAAATACTTGTTAATCAGATCACAACTTAATTGAAGTTCTGACAAGCATGGGGAATAGACCTTCAAAGCCAGTCCAGATTCCCGGTGGAGGAACAATTGAATTAAAACTACAAGAATCATACAAAACCCAGGAGAGACAAAGAGAGCAAAAGGCCATCAGTGAAATAGAGAAATCGGAAATAATTTTTTCTCCTATGCAAAATCAAGATAAAAAAAACACATTTAGTATCGGGCCCCTGCAAAAGGGAGATGGAACTTTCACTGATGACAACAAAGATATGAGCGAGATACTGAGGAAGCAGTAAGACTGTTTTCAGCGAGCCACTAAACACACTAAAGATTGATAACCCAAATGAATTTTTCATGGCTAGGATACCAACATCAAATCATATATCAGACGTCACCCTATCCCCACTGGATTTTAAAGAAGCCATAAACAGTATGCCTATGCACCAGGCCCTGATTCTTGGAACTCCATATTTATCAAGAAATGTAAAAAAACCACTATCACAGGCCCTTTGTGATAGCCTTTTCTCCACATTCTTTGGAGAAAAAGCTTAGATACTGGCGTTATCCCTGACATACTAAAAACAACAGAGATAGCACCACTCCAAAAATGAGGAAATAAGGCAGAGGGAAAAAATTACAGACCAATCGATAGCACTAACATCACACATCATAAAAATCTTTGAGTGCTAAGAAGTAAGATCACAAAATATATGGAATCACAGCATCTCCTTAATCCTGGACAACATGGTTTCAGAACAGGGCGCTTTTGCCTGTCACAGTTGCTGGACCACTATGACATGGCATTAGATGCCATGAAAGACAAACAAAACGCTAATGTAATTTATACAGATTTCGCAAAAGCCTTCGTCAAATGTGACCATGGTGTTATTGCACATGAAATGCGTTCAAAAGGAATTACCAGAAAAATAGGCAGATGGATCTACAATTTCCTGACTAACATAACCCAATGTGTAATAGTCAACAACATAAAATCCGGACCATCAACCGTAAAGAGCTCAGTTCCCAAGGGTACTGTGCTTACTCCATTACTTTTTCTCATCCACATATCGGACATAGACAGGAACACTATAGTACTGTATCATCCATTGCAGATAACACTAGGATTTTCATGAGAGTAGACAACATAGAGGACATGGCATATATCCAATCAGATGTAAATCAGGTCTTTCTATGGGGCTCCAGGAAATAATATGGTGTTTAACGAAGTTCCAGCTCATGGGCTACGGAAAAACATGAAGATATAAAAACGGAAACCACGTACAAAACTCAGTCAAATCATAACATAGAACGAAAAGGCAATGTAAAGGATTTGGGTGTACTCATGTCGGAAGACCTTACCTTTAAAGAACACAATAAAGTAGCCGACACAACTGCAAGAGAAATGATAGGTTGGAGAACAAGAACCTTTCACACTAGAGATGCTATACCGATGATGATACTTTTCAAGACACTAGTGCTCTCTAGGGTGGAGTACTGCTGCACAATGGCAGCCCCTTTCAAAGCTGGAGAAATTGCTGACCTGGAAAGCGTGCAGAGATCCTTTATTGCTAGAATCCACTCAGTAAAACATCTAAACTATTGGGACCGACTAATGAGCCTAAATCTGTATTCTCTTGAGCGCAGGTGGGAAAGATACATAAATAATAATTTACACGTGGGAAAATAGTAGAGGGGCTGGTCCCAAACCTGCACACAGAAATAACACCACATGAGAACAGAAGGCATGGCAGGATGTGCAAAATACCCCCGTTGAAGAGCAGAGGTGCAATAGGTACTCTGAGAGAGAACTCTATCAACATCAGAGGCCAGAGACTGCTCAACATGCTTCCACTACACATAAGAGGCATAACTGGCTGACCCCTCACAGTGTTCAAGAGAAAACTCGATAAGCACCTCCAAAGGATGTCTGATCAACCAGGGCTTTTGACTCATTCGTCAGGCTGCGAGCAGCCGCGGCTGGTTGACCAGTCCAGCAACAAGGAGGCCTGGTCGACGACCGGGCCTCCTTGTTCGCTAAGCCGCGAAAACACCTCAAGGTAACCGACAGCAGCTTTAGAATCACCTACAGAAAACGACAACTGCACAATATTCTTTGGAGATCATTGCCCCAGAGAGCGTCAATAGTCTTCCCCCAGTTATCACCTACATGAACGCCTTCTCAGTGCACCGAGGGACATAAAATAATCGGAAAGGCCAGCTGTCATTACCAGAATCATTAATAGTATACAAATCAATAATATATATATTGCTATTATGAGTCGATGTATATTGAAGACTCAAATCGATTTGTAATGCTAATTTACATTAACGGCACGGTTCTCAGTCATGGGTGTGCGTACCTGTAGGAGTGACACATGAGAGGTATTTAGCACTATATGAAAACATTTTAGGAAACAAAAGGTGTACGCAAATGTTTTGAGAAGCAAATGTGCACGAAAATATTTTGAGAAGCAATGGGGTACGAAAACATATTTTGAGAAACGAAGGTGAAAGCGCCGCAGAGAACGGTTAAGGCTGCAAACTGCAAATCATTATAGAAGTGTGTGCACGCCTCGTAAGACATCGACCCACGCTACAATGTCATTGTATATCGAGTGCTGGGGGGTTATGGTCAACAGAGGGTCGGAAAACCACAAACACCTGGACCAGGATCCATCATGCATTTACGCAACCACCTACAAAACCTGTATATCTTTCCTAGATTTTGGCAGCTTTGTTTACATTTCTTAAAACTGTTTATGAGTTGTTGTTGTTTTAGATTCAGCTATTCGGAACCTAAAGTGGCAAGTAGCACGGGCTATGGTGAGCCCGTAGTGTACTTACCTGGCACAGGAGCGGCAAGTAGCATGGGCCATGGTGAGCCCGTAGTGTACTTACCTGGCAAAGGAGCGGCAAGTAGCATGTGTCATGGTGAGCCCGTAGTGTACTTACCTGGCACAGGAGCGGGGCAAGTAGCATGGGCCATGGGGAGCCTGTAGTGTACTTACCTGGTACAGGAACGGCAAGTAGCATGGGCCATGGTCAGCCCGTAGTGGACTTACCTGACACAGGAGCGGCA